TTATCAAAGAGGAAGTATATGTGGAACAACCCCCTGGATTTGAAGATTTTAAATATCCCAATCATATTTTTAAATTAAAGAAAGCTTTATATGGTTTGAAACAAGCTCCTAGGTCTTGGTATGAAAGATTAAGTAGTTTTCTAATTTCAAATGACTTTTCTAGAGGAAAAATTGATTCCACCCTGTTTATTAAGAAGGTTAAGGAACATATTCTGTTAGTTCAAGTATATGTTGATGATATTATTTTTGGATCAACTGATAATTCTCTATGTGAAGGATTTGGTAAGATAATACAGGGTGAATTTGAAATGTCAATGATGGGAGAATTAATATTCTTCCTTGGACTTCAAATTAAACAACTCAAAGATGACATTTTTGTGTCTCAAACAAAATACTGCAAAGAGATTCTTAAGAAATTTAGAATGGACACTTCAAAGGAAGCTAACACACCTGTTAAGGTTCCAACATAAAACCAATTGGCAATATGTGGAGTAGCCTAACATGTATTTAAACCATACCAAATGACATGAGGTAGGCGATGTGGGACTTTCAACACACCCCCTCCAACGAAGCCCGCCGGACCAGGCAAAGGGTACTTTTGACCCAACTAAAGGACAACTTTTGGCCCATGACAATAACCGGAAAGATGTTAGGCTTTGGCTCTGATACCATGTTAAGGTTCCAACATAAAACCAATTGGCAATATGTGGAGTAGCCTAACATGTATTTAAACCATACCAAATGACATGAGGTAGGCGATGTGGGACTTTCAACAACACCCATGGGAACATCATGCTATTTAGACAAGGATGAATCAGGTTTGGAAATTAATCAATCTATGTATAGATGTATGATAGATTCACTATTAAACTTAACTGTAAGTAGACTTGATATTATGCATTTTGTTTGTGTGTGTGCTAGATTTCAAGCATGTCCAAAAGAATCTCATTTAACTGCAGTAAAAAGAATTTTAAAATATTTAAAAGGAACTACAAGAACTGGTTTATGGTATCCATCTGAAGTTTTTCCTAGCTTAATAGGATATTCTGATGCTGATTATGGTGGATGTACGATTGATAGAAAGAGTACTAGTGAAACATGTCATTTGGATCATCCTTAGTGTCTTGGCATTCTAAGAAACAAACATGTGTTGCTTTATCTATTACTAAAGCTGAATATATTGCAGCTGGTAATTGTTGTGCTCAAATTTTATGGATGAAACAACAATTAGAAGACTATAGTATCTTTCTAAGTAATATTCCTTTAATGTGTGATAATACAAGTGCTATCAATCTCACAAAGAATCCTGTTATGCATTCTAGAACTAAACATATTGAGATTAGACATCACTTTTTAAGAGATCATATATCCAAAGGAAATTGTCAAATTGAGTATATAGACACAAAACATCAGTTAGCAGATATATTTACCAAACCTCTTCCAAAGGATAGATTCTATGAACTTATAAGAGACTTAAAAATATTAAAAATAGCCTAAAAATCTGCTTAACTGATCAATCTTTGCATTTTGTACTGTACTGTTTTATTCAATAAGAACTTTATGTTTGCATTGCTTGTGGGGGAGTTTCTTATTTTTATTATGCATATGTTGAGGGGGAGCTTTTCATTTCTTTTTTATTATAATCAAAATAGGGGGAACAATTATTTAAAGCCTCTTATGTTTAATAATTTTTAATGGTGCTGGTATGTTTAATGTTTTTTGTTAGCTGTGACAAATAAAAATAGGTTATTAAAAAGGGCTTTAAAACAAATTTTGATCATCATAAAAAAGGGGGAGATTGTTGATCATACAAGGATATGAAGCTTGAAGATTTTGATGATGATTCAAGAACAAAAGACTTAGAGATTTGAAGACTTGTAATCTTATGTAATAACTCTGTTTTTATGTTTTTGAGTCTGTAATATTAGAGTCCAAGATAACCAACACATAGACCACTCTTTAAAAGCTCTAAAAACTCATTTTTATGAAAAATACACTGGAATAATCGATTAACTGACAGGATAATCGATTATTACAGCAAGAAAACCATTTTCAGTAATTGCTCTCTGGTTTAATCGATTAAATCAATTAAATGGCCTGTTAATCGATTAACTGGTGTTGTTTTGCTCTTCTGCGAGAATGACTCTGGAATAATCGATTAACACTCAAGATAATCGATTATTTACGTCTGTTGTGCATTTTGAAATTCAAAATTGGACCAATTTACGAAAACCCTATTCCCAATTCATCTGTTTTCGAAAAACATAATTCCCCATACCCTATTCTCTCTACTTAAGGTTCTCTAAGGCTCTCTGCAAATTGAACAAACCTTTTTCATACAAAAGTTAGAGCTGTGACTGCTAGAGAACTTGTTGTAGGGAAGAAAAAGGGGCTTTTGAAAACCTAGTGTGAGCTAGAAGCGATAAGAATCATTGAGTGAGTTTCTTGGTGGATTGTGTGCTGTGCTGTCTCTAGGAAAAACTATTCTTCATCCTTTGTGGATTCAAAAGAGGTGTTCATCTCTTGTGTGACTCAAGAGAGGTGTTTTCTTTACCTTATCTTTTCATTTGTAATCTGTTTATAAAACTGTGATTATAGTGACAACGTTAATCCTCTGTTTGAGTGATTAACCACTGAACGTAAGGTCTTTTGATCCGAACCAGTATAAATCGACTGTGTAATCTTCTATCCCTTCTCTATTTACTTTACACAGCATTTTAATCGGTGGAATTTGGGAAGGGAAAAATTTTAAAACTCTAATTTTTGTTTAAGAAACCAATTCACCCTTCTTAATTTTTGTCTATAAATACAAATATTCTAGTGTGCCATTCTGACAATAGTTGGCTATTAGAGCATCGATGAAAAATGGTAAATTTCTCATCACACGTATAACAGATTCCCCACTTACGTCGTAGTTGCATTTCTGCTGGGGACAGTCATTTGATGGTAGCCTTAGTGGCAGAAGCGGCTGGTGTCGAAGGGTTGAGTAATAGGCCCAGAAGTGAATTGGGCTGTCTAGCTTGGTATTGGACCGAGTTGTAATAACAGGTTTTGGATATGTGGGTGACAGAGGATACCTTCTCCTCATAAAGTTTTGCACGGGCCACAACCCTAATCAACGATGATGGTTCGCGGACGATGGCTTCACGTTTAATATCAGGTTTGAGCCCACCAATAAAACAGTCTAACAGTGTTGTATCTGGAAGACCTTCCACACGAGTAGCAAGAGTCTCGAATTGATGATAATAGTGCTAAACAGATTCGGTTTGAACCAACTTGAACAGAGCTACTCAGGGTGAATCAAAGGGGGACGACCCAAAATGAGCTTCCACCGCCTGGGTGAGGGCTTGCCAGTTTGAAAGAAGATTAAAACGTTGGAGAATTTGAAACCAGAGTCCAGCATCCCCTCCATATGAAATGGCAGCAATTAATAACCGCTGAGACCCAGGAGTTTGGTATAAAGCAAAGAATTTTTCCGCACGAAATAGCCAGTTCAACGGTTCAGTGCCTTTGAATTTCGAAAAATCCAGTTTCATCGAAGGAAGGGAAAGTGTATTACCCATCCCATGTAATGGATGAACAACCTGCTTTAAATAACGAGAAATGGCATCCATCGATCGAGTAAGGGTATCCATAAACGATCCATACGGTTGGTGTCATTTGATTTTGTTAAAATATCAAGTTGCTGCTCCAATTGGGCAATACGAGCATAATCTTGAGTTGCTTGCAACACCATAGCTTCTTGGAGTTTGCGAATATCTGCTACCACCTCTTTCAATCGGGTATTTTCAGCCATGGGGGAGGATAACGAAAGCACCAATTGGTGTGGCTCTCAGTATAATAACAATAACCAGCACTAAAGAATTATAAGAAATGCCTCTTTTGATATTAATAATCCCAACAAATGGAAGTAAACAAGGATACAAAATATCAGAGAATTCCAGACGAGAAAAGGTTTAACCAACTCCTCACAATAGAGTGGCCCGTACAAGAAGGACAAAGAATAGAAAAATATTCACAAGATACTGTTCCCCTTTATTATTATCTTCCACTCCTTATATGCTCCTATTTTCCTTGATCTGCATTTTTCACATTTTGCACTTCTCACGAGTGCTGCGTCTTAACTAACCAATTTCTGTCATCACATAAATCGAAATATGTGCCACGTGTCCCTCATCATCATCTTTTATTGTCTTGCTTAATCTCGTATCAAAAAGTCAAGATGTTTTCTTCGAAAAAATGTTTTAGAATTATTTATATAAAATTGAGACTATCAATCTTTTATTGTAAGTGATATTTTTCAATCCCAACATTCTCATTCAATGATGCATTATAGCCTCAATAAATCCAACGAGCTTAATTCACTTAAATGTCTAATAAAAATTATTCATTTACAAAATTATGATATAAATAAAATATCTTTCTAAAATGTGATTATTAGAAAGAATAATTCATTTATTTTAAATAGTTTTTATTATGTAATGAATATCTTTGTGTTTTACATGGAATGTTTTTAAATTTTTTATCCATATTTGTTAATTTTTAATTAGACATGGGCTCACATCAATTAGGGCATATCTAAAGGAGTTCCTTTATTTATTGAGTTTGAATTTGAAATTTTGTTTAAGGGACATGAGTTAAGTCGTGTTTGTAGTCAGGTGCAACATAACGTTGATAATGATAAGCTCTGTTAAGAATAATGGAATTTTGACATGTCGCCACTCTATTATCAGGCTATTGTTTAATCCTAAACATATATTATTTAATGAATGAAAAATGTCATAGTTTCTAATATTTTGCTGTTTAAATCATAATATGATGGACGAGCAGTTCGTTCCCCCGACGCATGTCTCGCACCTTCCCGACCTTGTCGCTTGTTTAATCCTGTCTGCTTTCCCATCGTAGGTTCATCCGTCATTGCTGTTCTAATTATGTCCAGCTTTAGCTTCCTCCTGTATTTTATTTTGTCTTTCTTTATGATGTACAGGTGCCTACAATTCTCACCTCTTCCGGGTTAAATTAGATATCTCTCGTTCTGAAGAGTTTGGACCCTTGCTTCCGCTACGAAGAGCATCAACTTTATTGGGTGCAACACAGTTTTCTTTGATGTTGGTTTCCATAGCTTTTATTTGCTTCATCAAGTAGCGTTTCCTGATTTGAAGATGAAGCCATTACAAGGTATTGGTTTTTACGAAGGATGAAAGGAACAACGGGTCAGTGGGTCAGGAAAATACCGGGTGCAGATGGAAAATATGGGGTCCAGGGAGCAATTGCCACGCTTGAGTTGAAAATAAGCCCAATACAAATTTTGCACTGGATCCCAGGCCCATAGAATCATTGTCGTCCTCCCAAGCTTTCGTTCTCGCTCCCTCTGTTTACGCAACTGCAAGAGATGGAGATGGAGGAAGCAGAGACGATAGATCTATACGAGCTTGAATACTCAGACTTATGTTCCCCTTCAACTTCATCCACAGTGGATTCAATAATGGAAGCCTTAGGGCCCAGTGGGCCAGGCCTACTCGCCATCACCGGCGTCCCCAACGCATCCAACCTCCGCTCACAACTTCTCCCCCTCGCTCGGAGCCTCGCTCTTCTCCACCGAGAAACCCGAAAACTCGTTCTCAAGGTAATTCTGCGTCTTATGTATATGTGATTTCTCACTGTAATGTTCTGACTCTGATGCATTGCTGCACATAAACATCATCCTAGGGTTTAGGTTTAAAATCAATTCAGTTTTTGTAGGGATGCTCATTGTGCTTGCATTGCATGCTTTCTTTCTAGGAGCATAACTTGGGTGGTGACGTTCCTCTCAGAAACCCTGATAGGAGTGTGTCCTCGTTTGCTATGCAACTGAAATATGCCAAATCTCCACTTGTTGAACAAACAGTGAGCGAGTGCTGCGGTACTGAATTCGAGAATCTGGGAAGTTGTTTCCAAGAGCTAGGGTTTTGCATGATGGAGCTGGGGCTTTGCCTTGCTCGAATATGTGACAATGCTATTGGTGGCAATGAGTTAGAGCTGAGTTTATTGGATTCATGTGCGGCTAAAGGGAGACTCATTCATTATCATTCACATTTAGATGCTCTACTCCTTGAACAACATGAAAGGAGCAGAGCAACTAGTAAGAGAGGTGCTGTTACTGTGAAACCATTGAAAGGGTCAGAGTTGAATTCAATTGCTTGTGATGTGAATTCGGGTGGAATTCATTCAAATTTGTGGCAGCAATGGCATTATGATTATGGTATATTCACTGTTCTAACGACTCCATTGTTTATTCTGCCATCTTATTCAGAGGCAAGTGAAACGGGAAACCCATTTCCCTCATCTTGTTTTGATGAATGTCAATCGCCAACTGGGCATACATGCTTGCAGATATATGATCCTAATAGGAGAAGGGCCATCATGGTGAAGGCCCCTCCAGAAAGTTTTATCATTCAAGTTGGGGAAGCTGCTGATATAATCTCAAAGGGGAAGCTTCGTGCGACCCTGCACTCAGTTCATAGACCTTCCAAGTTTGGAAATTTGAGCAGAGAAACTTTTGTTGTGTTTCTGCAGCCTGCATGGACTAAAACATTCTCTATCGCAGATTATCCTCACGCAAATTCCTCCTTCCACGGGTTCCATGGTCAGTGTTTAGTCGCTTCTGATGAGGAGCAACGGCAGTCTGGGCAGGATAATGATAATCTAAGTCAAGAAATTAACAAAATAGTTCCCCCTCTTTCATCTCGATTGAAGGAAGGGATGACTTTTGCTGAGTTCTCCCGTGAAACAACAAAGCAGTATTATGGTGGTAGCGGTTTGCAATCAAATAGGTGACCAGATTCTGGTTAGTCCTGATTCAAAGTATATCCTCTGTCAAAGATGAGATTGATAAGCTAAACCTCACTCATTACGTATTACCGTACCTTTATTTTTAGAAAAATCATATATTTGCCACAAGAGATAGACAGGGCAGTGGTAATATGTTTGAGCAGCTGCTCAATAGTGGAGAAATTTGACCAGCTAGTCTAGAGAAAATCGCTTATTGTTTTCCCTTTTTTATTTTAAATTTTATAAATTATAAAAAATATTACTTTAAACTGTAACTGCTTTTCCTGATTTCTAAACTGATATTCTAAAACTGAGAATAAAGCAGTGAAAAAAAAAAAAAATCTTTAAAAGGGAACATATAATGCTATACCTTATCCTACCTTTTTGTCTATTCCTCTCTACTTGTCCATTTCATACCTAGATTATGTTGATTCAAGTGGTTACCTGCATGTGACATTCTCAATTTTGTTCCTAATCCTGGACTCCCTACAGGAATTATAAAAGAAAAAGAAAAGAAAACGGCCGAAAAAGATTACGAGATGTTATAATGTTTTGTTCATTAATTGATGACTAAGGGAACCCCTGAAAATATAGTAAAAGAAGAAGAAATATTTTTTTTTTATTTCAAGTTTGCTGATTCATTCATCTGAAATAGGCTATATAGCCAAATATAGTTAGAATTCGATGGTGTTAGGAATAAAATCTAATAGAATAACAACTCATCAAATATAGCATAATATCTAGTAACAAAATAATGTGATTTAGCAGTTTGTTGCAACGGTGGGATCTCTAGGTAGTGTAATCCTTGAGATGAGTTGGAGTGGAGGTGATCCTTTTGGACCTTGAATTAGCTAAGGGAAGTGTGGCCTGATTGCTAACAACATCCGGCTCTGGAAAAAACACCTTGTCCTTAAGGTGATAATCGAATCTGAGATGTTCCCATTCTTCCCAACTGGTGTCATCGGGTGAGAGCCCATACCATTGAACCAGAACTAGTTTGGTTGAAGTGTTAGACAAATGACATCTAGAAGGGGGTGAACAGATACACAAATTAAAATAGATGTCAAATTAAAAATTTATTTGTAAGTCAATAATTTGTTTGAATACAGATAAAACAGAAGCGATAATATAATCAAGAAAAAATAAAGAGATAAGGGAAAGAGAAGAACACACAGAGATTTATACTGGTTCGGATATAGCCAACCCTATATCTAGTTCCCAGTCAACTCTTAACACGAGTGATTCCCAATTCACTATCTTTCAAATTCAATTTACAAATTACAATCAACTCAGTAGAAGAACTAGTAAAAAGTAAACTAATTAAAAAAACAATATCCTCCTTAGAAACTCACTAAGGATGAACACCTCCCTAGAATCTCACTAGGGATGAACACCTGCTCTGAACAAATCAAAGAATGAAAAAACATCTCCTTAAAATCCCACTAAGGATGAACATTTCCCTAGAATCACACTAGGGATGAAAACCTCCTTTGAACAAATTAAATGATGAAAACACCTCCTTAGAATCCCACTAAGGATGAACACCTCCCTAGAATCACACTAGAGATGAAAAACACCTCTTTTACCACCAATACACAAAGGATGAATGTAATAAAAATAAGAACAGTTATACCTATGTAATGGAGACAACAAATTGTAGAAGCATGTAGAATGTCAATCTCTAAGAACAAATGTGATTAATAATGAAAGCACAGAAGACAGTAGAGAAGAGAGTTTTTTCAGAAGGTGTAAAATATCTCTATTGCATTGCTCATAATTCTTTTCTCAAAACTGATTGAATGTAAATTGTATTTTTGAATTCTGTAATGATGTGTTTTTTATTTTTCATCAAAACTTAATTAAATAGAAAAATAACATCAAAAAATGGCCGTTGGACATTAATATTTTTGTGAATAAAAATCAGGATATATTAAAAAACATTTATTCTTCAAAATAGATATATTTTTCAAATTTGAATTGTCATAATTGATTATGTTACTAGTATAATTAATTATGACAGAAAATCATTTTTCTATTTTTGATGCATCATAATTGATTATGACGGTGAAAAATATCATGTTATGAATTTTATCACACTTGTGCTTTGGAGGCTTATGCATAATATTACTTCATCAAGTTGTACCTCCATATCCAGTATTCTAAGACTCTATCTAGTCTTTAAGAATCATCTTGGTCTTGCTTGAATCATCATCTTTATCAAAAACATATCTTGGGCATGTAGGGAAATGTTTCACATTGTCATAAATTCAACTTGTCCTTAATTCATCTTGAATGATGTTGACTTGAATGTAGTTGTCTTGAATCATCATCAAAATCATCTCTTAGGAATGTAGGGACATTTCCATCAATCTCTCCCTCATTGTTTTCATGAAGGACTTGTGGAGGTATCTATGTGAGTTGCGAAAATTGCCAAGGGTCGAATGATGGGTTGGTTGTTGAATGCCTTAGTAGGTAAAGGAGTGATGCTGGGATATGTGCCATGGTGTCTTTTCAGCAACGGACAATGGAAAATAGGATGTATTTTGGATTCAACTAGTAAATCCAATTTGTAAGCAACATAACCAATGTGGGCTCAGATTTTATAGGGGCCATAAAACCTCTTGGAAAGCTTGTTATAAGTGGAACAAGAGAGAGACCGTTGTCGGTATGGGCAGAGATAGACATACACCAAATCGCCTATTTCATAAGTTATATCACGTTGTTTGACATCAACATAAAGCTTCATAGAGGTATGAGCATTGAGTAGTTTCTTATGCAACTGTACTAACATCGAATGACATGATGCCAACAAAGTATCAACAACTTCCATGGTAGAAGAACCAAGAAATAATTTGGCAAAGATGGGGCAGACTTGCCATAGATAATATGGAAAGGTGAGTACCCAGTGGAGGAATGAACGAAAGTATTATAAGACCATTCAGCTAGGGCCAAATATTTGGACCACTGCGAAGGGTTGGAATGAACGAAAGAGTGGAGGTATTGTTCTAAAACTCCGTTAAACACCTCAGTTTGCCCGTCCATTTCTGGGTGATATGATGTACTCATTCGAAGTTTAGTACCACAAAGACGAAATAATTCACGCCAGAACTTACTGATGAATATGGGGTCACGGTCAGATACAAGAGTGCGAGGGATGCCATGGTATTTACAAATAATGTCCAAAAATAACTGAGACACCTTAGAAGCAGAATATTGTGTTGGCAATGGTCCCAAATGAACACCTTTAGAGAATCTGTCTACAATAACCAAAATAATAGTGAATCCCTGAGAAGGGGGTAATTCGATAATAAAATCAAGGGATAGATCTTCCCAAACAGTCATGGGCACAGGTAGGGGTTGCAAAAGACCAGCTGGTTTGAGGGTATCTGATTTCACTTGTTGGAAAGTGGTGCACTGCTGGATAAAAAGTTTAACATCTTTATGTAGACCTTCCCAATAAAAATTGGCCAATAATCTGGCCACTGTTTTTGTGATGCCCATATGACCACCAAGTGGGGTACTGTGATATTCATCCACAAGCTTAAGGAAAAAACTATTACTAGGATCAAGCCACAAACGATTCTTGAATAAAATTAAACCATTATGTAACTTATAATCTGGAAGAGTAACAGGTTCATTTTGAATACGGAGAAGTAAAGTATTATAGGAACTGCTAGCAACCACAAATTGCCTCAATTGATCCATAAAAATAAAGTTAGGCATGGAAAGGGTGAAATACATACTAGTTGGAGTGTCCGGACGTCTAGAAAGTGCATCAGCAACAACATTGTGGGGGCCTGGTTTGTAGTGAACCTTGTATTCATACCCCAATAATTTGGAAAGATAATGTTTTTGTTCTGGAGTTTGAATCACTTGGGATAGGATCTCTTTCAGGCTTTTATGATCAGTATTGATGACAAAGGGGTGCCCCAGAAGGTATTGGCGCCACCTCTTTACTGCAAAAGTGATGACATGTAATTGAGTATAATGGCTTGCTAAAAAATGCAACTGGGTGATTGTTTTGCATGAGAACTGCGCCCATAGCTATACCGGAAGCGTTTGTATCCATGGTGAAAGGAACTGAGAAATCCGATAAAGCAAGCATTGAAGCTTGAGTCATGGCTTGCTTGAGGGCATCAAATGCATTTTGAGCTTCTGGTGTCCAAAGAAAAGCATCCTTGCGAAGTAAGGCAATAAGCGAAGAGGAAATGGTGGCATATCCTTTGACAAACATTCGATAAAAACCGGTAAGGCCTAAGAAGCCACGTAGGGTTTTGACGTTGCAAGGGGGGGCCCAATCTAGCATTGCCTAAATCTTTGATGGATCAAGTTGAACTCCAGCTGCAGAGATGATGTGTCCCAAATACTCCAATTGCTTTTCTGCCAACAAACATTTGGAAGGTTTGAGATAAAGTTGACCTTCCAATAAACAGTGGAAGACATGTTCTAAATGTGAGGTATGTTGTGGGAAGGAAGGACTATACACAAGAATATCGTCAAAAAATAATGTAACAAAACAACGGAGAAATGGCCTGAGAAGGTCATTCATAGCTACTTGGAAAGTTGAAGGAGCATTACAGAGGTCGAATGGTATCACTTTGTACTCATAGTGTCCCTGGTGTGTGCAAAAAACGGTCTTCGCAATTTCGTTTGGATGCATCAAGATCTGGTGAAAGCCCTGTCGGAGGTCAAGTTTAGAAAACCAGGTTGCACCATCAAGCTTGTCCAAAAGCTCATCAATGGTGGGCATAGGAAAGCGATCACAGATAGTAATAGCATTAAGAGCCCTGTAATCAACACAACATCGCCAACTACCATCCTTTTTACGCACCAATAATACAAGCAAAGAAAATGGACTCCGACTTGGTTGAATCAAGGACGTATTAAGCATCTCTTCGATCTATTTTTCCAATTCACATTTTTGTGAGTGTGGGTATCGATACGGTTTGATGTTGACCGGTGTGGAGTTGGGGAGAAGGTGAATACGATGATCAGTGGGGCGAGAG